TTCAATTTGTCAATCAAATTAAAGATTTCAATGTATCCGATAAGCATTTGGTCTCTTTCGATGTTACCTCCCTTTTCACAAATGTGCCAGTTGTTGAGACTATCGACTTCATATGTAAAGAAGCTGAAGACATACCCATTCCAACATCGGAATTGAGGAAATTACTACTTTTATGTACTAAAAATGTCCAATTCCAATTCAACGGGCGTCTGTTCCGTCAAGTTGATGGTGTCGCAATGGGAAGCCCTTTGGGACCACTTTTCGCCGACTTATTCTTGTCACGCCTAGAAACCGGTGCTTTGCAGCAGCACATACAAGAAACAAATGTATACCTAAGATATGTTGATGACATTTTTATTGTCTGTGAAAGCAGATCAAAAGCGGAAGACATGTTGATAAAATTCAATTCATGCCATCCAAATCTCAATTTCACAGTAGAACACGAGGAAAACGATACTATGAAATTCCTAGACGTTTTTCTAGCCAAAATGAATGATGGCACAATCGAAAGATCTATATTTAGAAAGTCTTCATGGACAGGACAGTACATGCATTTCAAGAGCTTTGTCCCAATCCAGTACAAAAAGAACCTAGTCAGAACACTGTTCAATAGAGCACGGAAAATTTGTTCTGACAGTACTATTGAACAGGAAACAAAATCTCTGAAGGATATTTTATCTAAGAATGGATATCCTGAGAAGTTCATTAATAAATACTCCAAAGAAACTACCCCCCGCAAAACAATTCAAACAGTTCCAAAGAAACCTGTTTATATCAATTTACCGTTCAAAGGAGATGACGTACAAGAAGTAGTGAAACGAAGACTCGACAAAGCCATCAAGAGAACTTATTATGCTGCAAAACTTGTTATCCTTAACACCACCAAGCGAGTGCTTCAACAATCTGGGAAAGACCAGTCGCCAATCCTCGACACTTCAAACTGCATATATCAATTTGAGTGTGTTTGTGGCAGCAAATACATAGGTCGTACGGAAAGGCGATTGTCTACTCGCATGATGGAGCATTTGCCAAAATGGTTGAAAACAGCTGAGTGCAAAGTCCCAAAATCCTCAATAACAAAACATCTCGTGGATTACGGACATGATATCGACGCCGTCAAGTCATTTACCATTGTCAGCAAACAAAGAAACAAGAAGATGCTTGCAATTGCAGAGGCTTGTGCAATTCGAATTTATAAACCAGCTCTCTGTATACAAAAGGAGATGGTCGTAACTCTTAATCTACCATGGTAATACGTTTTATTCTCTACTTGTTATTATTCTACCTCTTCTTCTTCTTACTATTATTGTTATTATTATTACCATTATTCTTGATTCATCTAAAACTATGCTTTATCAGTAAGATTATCTTAACTCACTTCAACACTATTAAAACTGTTATTATAACTATTACTATTGATATTAGTCTGTTTGCGATTCTCCTTATATACCCTAGTGACTAATTGTTTATCTAAGTGATGCAATTGAAGCGTAATGCCATTTATCTTAATTTTGATCTCTCATACTCTCTCTCCCCTTATCTATTTGAACATGACCTGGAAAATATTCGCACCTGTCTCTCTGCATGATTAATTCAATGTAGTTTGTTTACTTATCAGTCTTATATCTCCCAATGTAATTTCAAAAGTATATATATTCGTGTATGTAGAGTATTCAACTTATCAGTCTTGTATCTCCCAATGTAATTTCAAAAGTATATATATCCGTGTATGTAGAGTATTCAGCTGACGAGTTCTACCGAAATTTGATGAATTCATTAAATCCTGCTTTATTAACCTTTATTGCTTATTTTAAAGCCTGATATGCTCTATATTCCAATCTAAATTGGATTTGTACCCTGCTGAAAACAAAACTCCAACTGCATCCATAATTTTACCTGTCCTTATGGGAGCAAATACACTAGAAGGGCTGAAAGAAGGCATTCGATCCAGTTTCCTGAACATATCCCATGAAATTTACGCCTAAATGAAAGCACATATTCGCAAAGTGCAATCACCAGACACTTTGTGGATACGAGTCATTTTGACAAGATTTTCAAATCCCTCGAAATATGAAACAAAGGACAGTAGATTTAGTATGATTTGCCGAAGCAATTGTAATCAAATATCTCAGTGTAACCTCATGAAAACAGAAACAGAACATAATCAATCTC